GCATGTACCACAAAATTCATCTATATTTACATATCAAATATCTAAACTTTGCTTTTCTACATCCATACAACCCTTAATGACATACACTTTTTCATGTAAAAGCAAGATGTCATATATCATATATGTAAAAATTAAATTTTAGAAAATGTAAATCTTCCAAAATCTTACATTTAATCTTCTTCTTCTTCTTCTAACTCATTATGTTGTGATTAGGAAAGGGGAAGAATACTGATGAAGCTTGCGGATTTGATTGATGAACATACAGAGGAACTGGCGAGTCTGGAGTCATTAGATTCCGGAAAACTTTTTCATCTTAATAAGATGCTGGATATTCCGAGTACCGCTGACTCAATTCGTTATTATGCTGGAGCAGCAGACAAGATTCATGGCGAGACGTCAAAGTGTTCTCGAGAGTTTCATGGATATACGTTGAAGGAGCCTGTAGGTGTGGTTGGGCTCATCATACCTTGGAATTTTCCTTCTATTATGTTCTTCGCTAAGGCTGCGCCGGCTTTGGCGGCTGGCTGCACTGTGATTGTCAAGCCCGCCGAGCAGACGCCGCTCACCGCTCTCTATTATGCGAAATTGGCAAAGGAGGTGAGGGTTTTTCATTCATACCTTCCAATTTATATGTATTTACATATGCAAAATTATGAAAATTTTACTTTTTTTACATGAAAAACAGCGTCATTTTAATTTTTAAAAAGTGAAATACATATTTTCATGTATAGGTAAAGTGACTGGTATATAAAAATTGAAGTTTGAGTGTTCCATGTGTAAGTTGATAGAACTTGAGTGGTAGAAATGGAATTCAAAATTTTTTTTTTTTTTTTTTTTTTTTTTTTTTTCATTTTGTTTTGTTGTTTGAAGTATGGCATGTTTGGGCTTTTTAGTTGTTATAATTGCTGGGAGAGGAGAAATATAAGTCGAATATGTAGGGATAAAAAGAGTAGAAAATATAGAAGAAGTTTGACTTTGAACAACAGTACATGAATTTTATATCGGTTCATGATGGTTGATTTTACGAATGAAAATAAGTTGATATAACGTTTATCTACTGTTTGAGAGTTTGATCGTATCTCCACAAACCCTAGACATTGCTAGGAAAAACACGAGAAAAAGAAAAACTGCAGTTATAAGCCCTAATATAAACTTCTCAAAGTTTCCCTTCAAACTTTCTCCCCAAAACTCTCTTAATTTCTTCTTCTTGAGTGCTTAAATGATTAGAGCCTTAGTGAGCTCCACCTGAGATTTGGAATCCTCTGGGGCTGCACTAGGGCTTTTCACCTAATTGGTGGTTTAGGTTGCTATAGATTTTACTATAATGTAATTTTAGTAACAAAAATATTAGATGAGCAACAAAGAAATATAACAATTATTTCAACCGATCCACTATTAAAGTTCATGCATACGTACCACACAACTATTAAAATTTAGGGGCATTTGCATGCACACCACACAATTCTTATGTATTTACATATCTAGCCCCCAAACTTCAATATTTACATGCATAACGCTCAAATGTTTAATATTACATCAAAAATATCATTATCACCTATTTTTCAAAAGAGATACATTTTTTCATGCAGAGATTTATCACACTAAAGTGTT